TTAGATTTCTTGGTTAGTAACTCAGTCTTTGTGGAGGATAAAAAATGAGCTCTAAAAGAAAGCACTGAATCTCTTCAAGGCTGCACATTGTATTCCAGGTATACCTTCTCTGTCAACATCCTACCTGAATATTAGCTAATGATTAATACTCCCATTCAAATGGGGGTTTTGTCACTTTTAAGAAGGGTTGTAAATCAACATGTGCTCCGAATATGCAACAGTTCCTATAATTTTCAAGTGATTAATGCAGGCATTTGACCAAGAGAAGTTTCAAGCATCAAAGAGTTAAAACTACGTTTCAGTAGAACTTCAGGGAACACTCTCATCTCTGCATGGTTCCTTGCTGGTTCATTCAGAAAAAAACTGATGTTACATTATACATTAACATTTGTAACTGTCATCTACATGAAAAATTGTAGCTATTTCCATTTTTTAATTGTACTTAGTGAAACTTATATGTATACAGACAAAATGGGCAGCCGTGGGAAGATGCTTAAAACTTGCTGATTTTTAGTAGACCATGGCACTTGATGGTCACCTGCCTTACTGACCAGATGTGTTTCCTGAATTAAGGCTGGGTGATTATATAGTGTCACCAGCTAAATATGGCAAGACTCGAGGCTCGCCGATTTCTCTTTAAAATGCAAAAAGCATTGAAAAGCTGTTCGTCTGCCGTTCCTTTGTGCTGCTGGCACGGAGGCAGGGGAGCCTGTTGGCTGGGGCAGCCCTGCCACCTGCAGCTCAGCGCCGGCAGGACCTCAGTGCTGCCAGGATTAGCATTCGTTCTCAGAATGGAATAAAAATCCAGCATTAGAACAAAAATCATAAGGATAAAATTATTCCTGCTGTGACTGGACTGATCTTAGAGCTGAATATGACCCCTGACTGACGAGGGCCAGTTTGGACTCTGCTGATATCTGAGATATTACAGGAAATTGTGTGCAGATCCATATTCTCAGAACCCTTTAACTCTTGTCTGCAGTGCCACCACTATCTCCTCATATAAACAACTCCCAAATGTGCTTTATTATGTTCCTTATTTTCACTTCGCTGAGCCCCAAGGGAATTACCATTTTGTCAAGTTGGATACAAGCCCTCTAATTGATGAATTGTCCATAGGATCCATATGGAACTCCAGGAAAGTCACTGGCAGTCTGCATAGCACCAAAAGGGGTGCATGAGTGTGTCCTGGGCACCCACAAGAAGAAGCTTCTCATGCCAGTGATCTCTCCGTGTGAAGCACTGTGCTCATCCCTGGAGCTGGCTCCACCCCACAGCTCTGACAGTGGAACAGCAATGAGCAATGGTCAGACATCCATGAGCTCAGATGAGATGGCTAGAAACCAATTCTAATAATACTGGGTTACTAAGCATAATGTGGAGTTCTTTCAGTGGGTTTTAGTACTGCAGAGGGAAAGTACATAATCTATTATGATACACATTGTTTCAAATACATTTTAAAAGCTAAAACAAACATAATTTTTCTTTGAACTTTAGGGCTTGTTCAACTGCACACACAATTAAGACACATTCTAGTGCCTGAAACATCCACATGGAGCTTTGTCCTTCTGGGACAGGAAGAGCAGTCTGGTGGATGAGATCCAGCATCATCTAGGGCATTTCAGCTGGCACTAGACACCTGTGCACAGGCAAATGGATCCCACCTCTAGTGTTGCCTAGGCATGGAACTCCGAAATATCTGTCTTGTCAAGCATTGCCATGAAAGCTTCTGTATTCATGGGAATGTAGAAATTATTTCTGTAATCATACATCGTCACCTCACTAAATTCTTGAGGTCTTTAGGCTATTTTCTTGGGTGACTGATTTCAAGCTGTGAAGAAACTGCTTGTAGAAGAGATTGGTTTTGTTGGTGTTCCAAATATTATTAATATAGTACTATAGTAAAAACTAGTACATTTGGTATTATCCAGTGCTTGTAAAAATGTTAAAATGGATGTTTTGAAGAAATCTCACAGAGGGAGACTAGATGATCTGTGAAGAATAGACAGTTTAAGCCTCAGGCTTCTTCTATATGCCAATGAATGCAGGACTATAAAACATTTCATTAGCTTTGTTTTAAGAACCCACTCTGTCAACCCAGCCTGCCAGTTACCTGCTCACCAGTGGTTAAAGACAGCAGGTGGTTTTAGCCAATCAAGCTTTTAAATGCATCTTGTTCCCTCAGTTTTAATCTGGATTTTTTGAAAAAACCAAGCTACTGATTGTCACTGGCAAGTTCCTTGGACTCAAGATAATTGGAGCACAATCATTTCCTTTTTCAAGGATTTGGGTTTGAGTCACTTTAGGTTTCAAGTAGGTCTCAAAGGTCACTGAAAAAGACTGTGAGATTCGATATCCATCGTTTTTAATCCAGTTCATTTTACACTTATGCCCAATTCACAGGAGCGAGATGCATTTAAAATTACAGAGTTCAATGCCCTTCTATTACTCAAGTATCCAAAGCTGACCTTACAATTTTCAGACTTTAGAGGAAGGAAATGGTTGTGAATTCCCCAAAAACCAGAAGAATTCATGAGTGGGTTACAGCTCCCAAGTTTCCAGAAAATGAGACTTTCCCATGTCCTAGAGTAGGGCCCTCAGTGCCCATATTTTTTTCTCTACACAAGTGAGATCAGTCAAGTGTTTCTACATATTGGGTCTGTATTCCATTTTAATCTTGTGTGTGAAGTGAAAGAGATTATATACAGTATTAGCAGTCAAGATATCCACAGGCAGTGGGGACAGCATAGTTCTCTGTGCACATTATGGTTGGAGCACAATAGCAAACATCTTTGCCAAGATGATAAAGAAAAAACATTCTCTTTGTTGCCAATAATAAATATCTAGGGAAGAGTAAGGATATAATGAATAAAGCATCCCTAAGGAAATGTTGGAAGAACCTACATATATATTTACATATTTTTAGTCCCAGCAGCAGCAGAGCTATGTAATTCTAGTGCTCTGCCCAGGGTAACTAGTTTGTTCAAAATTATCACAAATATCTTTTTCATTCTTGCTGCTATCAGCTCATAATGAGAAAATTTAGGCAGCCATGCCAGAAACCCAGACTTTTGAGAGTCAAAACAATGGTGTCCATTATGATAACAAATCTCTTTCTCTCTTACATACACACACATATACATAAAACCTGAGCCAGCTCCTGCACATTTCAGAATAAATTGAATACAAATTCAACATACAACACCTTTTTCACAGCATAAACCGGATCCTGCATATATTTTAAGACCTGGTGATCTTAATTTTTGTTAGAATATTGAACTAGATGAAAATCCAAGCCCAGACTACACTCTCTGATAGCAGCTTTCTGTCTTTTAAACTATCTTGTAGATATTTACAAAAAATATGTAAAAACTGTATAGGAAAAATGTCAATGAGGCAACAGCAGATTCAATTTCTGCAGTTGGAAAAAAATAATTTCTCATACTGAAGCTCTTCATTCTCTCTGCTGCTTTATGTTATCTCTGTTTTAACTGCTGTTAATGAAAGGCTCATCAAACAGCAGTGCCAATACACAGTAATATTTAAGTGCTGAATTAGTCTCAGTCCTCATGGCAGCTCCCTTTCAGCTATTTTCTCTGCATACTTTGCATCTCCATTTATATGAATGAGAGAAGGGTGCACGTGGGGAGAATGGAGCAGGTGTTGCTCAGCTCTGCAGCCCAGAGAGAAGAATTTGTCTCCTGTCTTACATATCTGTAAAAGAATGAAGGGAAAACATCTCCTGCTGAAGTAAATCCTACATACTCCTTCAGCAAAACTTCCTAAAATTAAGTAAATAATTCAAAACAAGTCTTTGTTTAAGTTACACCTTTCTTCAGTTACCATTCTAACTTCTAATAATTTGATCACCTTGTTGCCTTACTTCACTTGGTAAAACAAGCCAAACCTGTCCCTGCTTCTAAACACAGTTCTGCTTTGAAAAGTGACTAAAAATGGCATGCAGGCCCCATGCTTATTCTGTGCCAGCAACTTCCTTATCATATGTGCTCAGTTTGCAAGTAAGGAACCATTTCCTCCAATGTGCCAGCCCTACAAATTTCAGGCGGGACTTGTAGGTCAACCCAGATTTTTCTCCTCATTTAGGATGCCTAAAAATCAAGGCTCTGGCAAACGAGAGTAAACCCTCAGTTACATGTGTGCAATTTTGTAGCCTTCTATGGCTTTGATTGAGGTTTAATGGCTGGAAATGATTGTGTGGTTATAAACAGCAGAGAATAGAAAGCAACACTGCTCTTTCTGCTGGATCTGCTGTGCTAACAGGAGTAGAAAGCAGTGAACAATTATTTTAATTATTAAGTGAACAGATAGAAAATATATTAGACTCTATTTAAAAAAAGGTGTTTGAAATTCCATGTTTTTAGAAATCTCTATCTTATATACCCAAGCATTCAAGCAGACAAGAAAAATAAAATGCTTCTTTTTTTCTCATATGTGTCATTCATATTATAGGAAGAGAGTTTCTAGTCCTCATATAACAAAAAAACCCCAAAATTATCTGGATTATTATTATTTATATGGATATTAATAATAATTATCAATTATTATTGATGTAATATCAAAATAAAAGGTCATTTTTAAGAAGCTCTCATTGTGGTGTGTAGCAGGCCAGAAGAACACATTTTGCTGTATGGGAATGATAGTCCACTGTGAGCATTGTATTCTTGACTAATCTTTGAGGCTTTGGCAATGAAGCATGAACATTTTATAGTCTTCTGAAATCTCTGTAGCCTGGAAGACTAGAGTTGAAGTTTATCTGATATATCCAAAGATTTCCTAGGATAATAAATAGCAAGAAAAATTTTTCCCAATTCAGAATTTTGATTTGCAATCCATGTGCAGATTAAACTGAACTTTACAAGGCATGCTGTGTTAGCAAGAGTAAAAAATACATATATATATATAAAATTTCCAGCTATGTAAATACTGAGCAGCGGAGGCTTTGCTTGTATAAAATTGTTTTATTCTGATTTTTCTTCCAGTTGTGTGTAATACTGGAGCCAATGCAGGAACTGATGTCAAGACATAAAACTTACAATCTAAGTCCTCGAGACTGTTTGAAGACTTGCTTATTTCAAAAATGGCAGAGAATGGTGGCCCCACCAGGTATGTTTCACTTCCAGTATTCCACTTATTTTATAGTAAAATTAATAGAGAAGCAATGGGAAGCTTACTTATAAAGGAAAGTAATAAAAATTAACAATGCTCCCAAAGCAAGATTGAAAATTATTCTGATATTTTATGATTTCAGTCTGACAAAACTGATTTATAGGTGTGCACACTGAGATGGCTTCACTATGACTAGGATATAATGTAGTGCAAAAATATGTGTAAATGGAATGCAAAATGCCTACTGGCTCCATTAGAATTCATTGTTTATGTAATCCTGTTTCCTGCTGTGACTCTGAAATTACAGCTACAATTCATAATTAATTGTCTTTGAGACTAATATCAAGTTATTTACAGGCCTGGACCTAATCTCCTTCCTCTTACACCTCAAAATAATAATTCTCTCTTTTTTCAGATTATAAAGGTTTTCATGTATATGAGTGTTCACATAGGTGCCCCGGCCAAATTCTGAGAAGAACAATTGCCCCTCTCTGATTTCAGGTTAAGCAAAGCTGTGCAAAATTGTCCTGATGCGGTCTGAGTTTTGCAGGCTTGCAGGGCAATGGCATTAGCACACTTTATGGGTTCTCCTGGGAGCAGCAGGTTCAGGGGCGAAGGCCACACAGGATGTAGGAGGAACTCCAAGGTTGCTTGTTGCTTGCTGCATGGATGGCAGCAGTAGGGCAGGAAGCTCCTTTGGCCTTTGGCTGGGTCATTTGAGGCTGTACCCTACATCACAGTGAGACCTGCACCTCTTCTTGCTATGTGACCTTCAGCAAGTTCCACAGTCACTTTGACCATAATGACCATTATCATGATACTCCCATAAATAAAATGTTTTTGAATACCTTTATAGACAATTCTGGGATGATGCTTTGTTAAACTTTTTTTTTTTTTTTTCTGATGGATTAACAAACTTTGTTAATCCATCAGAAAAAAATTGAGAGCAGATTCCATTGGTTTGGGTCCAAATATCATCCTACGGTTTGTATGTTAAATCTAACACAACTGTTACTATTAAACTTAGCAATTTAAAACTAATTGAAAAAGTATTTCAGCACTTACTTCTTCTCATGGATCATTTTAATTCATGATTTACAGTATCTGCCATTTGCTTTCCTTCTTATCATTTTATTGCAGCAGAACCCACAAGACAACCAACAACCAAACGGAGAAAAAGGAAAAACTCTACCAGCAGCACTTCCAACAGTAGTGCTGGGAACAATGCAAATAGTACCAACAGCAAGAAAAAGTCAGCTGCTGCAAACCTGAGTCTATCAAGTCAGGTACCTGTAAGTCTCACTTTCCTTTTAGGCCTGAATCACGGTGCTTTAATTCTTTCCATACTTTGTAAAAAAGGTGCATTCTTGAGCCAAAACTGTCACAAGGAAAAGGCAATCTTGCACAGTGTGCTGTGGAAGCTGGGGAATTAGTAGAGAGGTGTGAAGAAGATGGTCTCCAGTCCAGCTTTAATGCAGGACCCTCAAACAGAAGTATCCTGAGGATCAGATGCGATTTTTTAAAGGCCTGGGCCAGTTCTCCTTTTTGTCAGGGGGAGTTTCTCCTCTAGTGGTGGGACACAGATTAGGCCTCGTGTTTTTAGACATAGCATGAGCCTTGCAGACTTCATCTGCCGGGTGCTAAGCGAGGATGTGTGCCAGTGGAGCAGGACAGCTGTCCCTGAGGAAGCCGCTGGTCTCTCTCTGTTAGTACCTGACCTCTAATTGGTGCCAGGTTCAGATGCTGAACAGGAACAGGTTATGATTTAACTTACCTGCAGAGCTTATCCCTTTGTCCAATCACCCCACTTGCAGAGGGTAGATTCTCTGGAATGTGGCTCTCAGCTTATCCATCCTGCTAGCTGTAACTGTTGACATCCTAATTGTATAGGGAAACACCAAGTCATTTCCAGAGTATTAACTGTATCAGCACATTAATAATGTCACATTTACTGCTTTAGTCACATATAGGGGTAATCAGACCCCAAATTGTGACAAAGTGTGCCTTAGTCAATTAGGAGATAGCTTATGCATTTTAAAGCTTGAGAAAGTAATTTGATATTATAAGAAGCATCAAGTCATATCCTGGGAATAACATGCAGGTATTTTTATTTGATTTCTGGTCAGCAGATTGGAAGGGGTTAGGTCTCCTCTAAAACCTGACAAAGAATATCGCTGTTTTGTTAGCACAAAGCAGACACTTCCTAGGAAGCCTGAATACCCAGATAAAAAAAAAAGAGTAGACTTAACACCAGTGACATGAAATGAAGATTTTTGTTTAGCAACTGATTTAGCAATCCACTAGTTTAAAGCTTGGGGTTTCAGGACATTAAACTCGTATTTCCTCTTTGTCATATTAAAATTTTCACATGGCTCGTATCCCCAGAGTCAGATTCTTTCCCTAATATAGGCATCTCTGTGTTTTTCTGGCAGCACAAAGCAGTCAGAAGGCTGACTACCTGATCTCCTGGTGGCAGGCACCACTCTGCCCCAGACACTGATGGTGCCTGCCAGAAAAACCTTTGGATCAATATTCAACCATATTTAAGGAAAAGTTGCAAGGAAGTGCAAAACCAAGCAACCAGCTGTCTCCAACTTTAAAAGACAGTAGAATCATTTTCTGTCAGCTACACCCTGGACTACAGTCTGACCCCCTGCCTCTCTTCAGCCTGCTCCTCCCTGGAGAGAGGACTTTTGTTGCCTTCAGTGGTAGTTGTGTGTACTCGAATGTCTGAATGAGACTGAGCCCTCTGATAAGTTACCTGTCACTCCATGATATTGAAAGTAACTTCAGGTGCTGAAGGCTACTCCTGACAGATGAAGTAGCCAAGGCTGCTCTTCTGATGGAGATGATAGTTGAGCATCTGAGACATATTGGTGAAGTTTATTATGATATGAGGGATGGACTTTTTAGCCTCCATTTACTTTCAGGATGTTGCATACTCAATGTTTTTCAATATTCTTTGCTTTCTGTACCAGAGTAGCAAAATGGTCCAACCTCTTTTGTATGGAGGATCAGGTTCCATTTTTAGGACACTTTTCCTTTCCATCTGCAAAGGGGAAAATGCTTAGCTGTTCGATTTGACATACTAACAGCTCTTCCCATCTTCCCCACAGCAAAGATAGCAAACCAGATGGAATTGATGGTTTGGCCACCCTGTAGAGTAGACAGAACTCAAAATAATTTTAGCAGGAGGATATTTCAGTGTAAAACTATTCAACGCTTTTCAGCTTAATAAAGAGATGTTATCCCACACTTCTTCAAAATTATGCATTCTTTGAAGTGGACCTTGTTGTCATTGCTTTCCGAAGATAGCTGCAGGTAGCAGTAACTTGCTTTCTGTTCCTTTCCAATAACTGTAACTTAAAGTGTATCATTTAGTAGTTAATGTTTGGTTTCCCTTACATGCAAGAAGACAAGAGATCCTTGAACACAATTTGGCAGTTTTCAATTCACTAAAATATTCATTTGGCCATACAGCTTTCTGTGAATGGGGCTTTCCTGCTCAGTAGAAAAAAAACCCCACCCTACTGAAATCATTCACTTTCTGTGTTAAAAGCATTTCCCCTCTCCTTATTAGAGAAGAGGAATGGAATCACTGCATCTTCTATCCAGATGGCTCAAATAACCAGAGGTACTTTCAGTTCCATTTTCCTCATCCTCATCTCTGGAGAGCCCCACAATGAGCTCATATCTATATCAACCCTGGATTAATATGACGGCCTGTATTCCAACTTTCTCTTTTTCTCCAATGATTTCTTCCCTGCCAGCAAAGTCAGTGCCTCCACCAGAATCACATCTAATTTTCTGTCTCTTTTATGCTTCTGTGTTGTTTTAACTTTGATAGTAAATTAATCCTGATTAAACGGTGTTTTCTTAGCTTCTGTTCTTTGTGATGTTTCTTGGCTTAGGACATTAGTAATTATTCCATTTTGCTCCTATATTAATGCTGCATGCACTCTGGCAAATACGTGAACTCACCATACTCCTCATCCACACTTCTTACTCACACCATTAACTCCTGTTTCTTTAATGAGGTCTTCATGCCTGGAGAGGTAAATGTCCCACATTTAGGATAGCGTCCAGAAAACAGAATTACCATCAGCTATGGCAAAGCTTGAAACTTCAGAGTTTTGTCATTTTCCGCACAGCCCCTTCCAGCTCTTCAGATAAATACCTTGGGCTGAGCAAACCTTGATTAATGAGGGAATGTTCCTTGTCACATAGATGTTCTTCGACTAGTAGAAGGAGGAGGTTGTGCCGTTTCCTCCACCTGTATTATTTTCTGATCAGTTGTCCAGGCAGGCACAGTGCAGACAGTACAGAGCCAAGCTCAGAAAGTGAAATGGCATGATTTTGTTTCCATGCATGGGTGAGGTTGGTGCTGCATCCTGAAGCTCAGTTGTTGAAGCCAAATCGATCAGTATCATTTGTGCTCCTTGTGCTGTCTTAAATTTCTTAGCACTTCCACAGTGCTGACACATTCTGATACATCTCTTATGGCAATCCATAAAAGCATTTGAGGGGTCTCTGCTAGTGGGTGGGTATCTTCCCTCTCATCGGGAATTTGAAAATGTTCAGTCTCAGTCCATTCTCTTATCTGTAACTATTATTTATACTTCCTCAACTGTGGTAAATAAAACAAAAAGTTTTGTCCTTTTGACAGTCACTTACACTGTATTGTACCCATTTTCTCTTATGATGGTGGGATAAACAGTAGTTTCTGTGATTCTGTTGCTTCTCAGGCTGCTGATTGCAGACCTTCAGTATCTCTTGTCAATATGACCCTTCTGGCCAATTTAATACCTTTACTATGTATTACATATTTCCTACATTCTTAACACAAATGCAGTTAGCCAGTGTGCCACGATTGCACCACACAGCTCATTCTTGTGTTGCCCCGTTGCTTGTCCAGTGATGCTTTTGACCCTGGTCCTGTAGGTGCCAAGGCAACACACTGTAGTGTGGTGGAAGTAGAACTAAGTACTGCTAAAGTCAGGAAAACAATAGCACAAGTACAAAAATGTTTTTCTCACTAGAAGTTTTCTTTCTCAGGTTCTCATGGGTGCAGGCTCAGTACTGCCAGTGCTTCCCATAGATGCATTGACTGGTTTTAGTGCATAAAGAAAACAGACAGGACAGGGACCCAGAAACTGCAGTCTGCTCAGCTGCCTTAGTCTCAGCAGATGCCAATAATTTAAACTTGGATCTGTTCACATTCTCAATCACATCTGATCTTTGGAAGGCTCTTTGGGCAGAACATGGAGTTACCAGTTTCCACTTTCCTCTAGACAAAGAGCAAAGATGGGCAAGAGCCCTTCTTCAAAGTTCATAGAAAACCTGCCTTTCTAATGTTAGCCTTACCATTTTAAAGAAATTAGTTACCTATTTTGGGTATGCTATTGTCTTACCACTTATACAGTACTAATAATTTCCTCCAGTATTTGAAGTTAGCTGCAATATTTTCCCAAGTCTTTGCTCAGTTTTCAAGCCTTCTTACTGGCTAAAATCATATTCCTTAGCATTTTACATGTTCTTCTGTTTCAAATAAAACTTTTTGAAAGCCCTAACCCTTGTACTGTAGAGCAATGATTTGTATACTGTGATCTTTGGATTAAAGGCATAAGCAAGGTCATCAGGAGGTGTCCATATAGCTATTTTTCCTTAAATATCACTCTCTGTTAAGTTTAATTAAAGCAAGGCACATTGGTCCATTTTCATATATTTGAAACTTGATAGCAATCCACAACTCTCACAAACTCTTAAGAACCATTGCTCTATGCTGCTCCCAGTCATCACCACAGAAATTAATAGGTGGATTTTGCTATCATTTACTAATGAAGATCTTGTTGTGTGTAATACTGTAAACATGAACCCAGTGAAATACCATGTGTTGGAAAGAATAAAGCACCACCACATGCCACTGAGTAAATGAAACATTCTTTGTTACATCCAGAGTCTTAAATAGAACCTCCTTGCACTCTAAGCAAGTGACATACCTCAATAATCTTTCTTTCTCTTTGTAGCTCTCTGTAAGCTCCTCAGAAACCAAATCCATAAATAAACCTGCTAATGTGGAAGGGAGCAATACAATCTCTTACGTGTTTCAGAAATGGGGTAGGTTTAGGTGGTTTGTAATGGATATTGTAGAACCAGAGCTACAGTTCCAGGGCCAGAGATAAGTGTCAGAAATTAGCCCATGTCTCAAAACCATGAAATTCAGAATCTAAGATTTAGTAGTAGGGAGATGAGAGAGAATAACTTTGTTTCCAGTTTTTGTGCTTTAGGCAAAACATTCCAAACAAGAACAGAATGTCAAGTTAACAGTGAGAATTATGATGAGATGTGAAAGATTTTTCTCTAGAAAGTGTTTACTCTGAAACCTAATTAAAATGTCATTTCTGTTTCTAAGGATCATTTCTATACCAACGTCAGTCTGATGTTTTTCTCATGGAAGCAGTGACCATTATGGGTGTGGGCAGCAGTGGGGCTCTCAGTCATTAATAATTTTTGTGCCAAGGAGCTAAAAAGTCAATTATTAAAATAATTACCACTAAATTCCATAAGAAGGCAAGCAGGAGGAAGAACCCTTCTTTTGACTTAGCACTTAGAAGCATGTTAACTGCTAAAACTAGTGCAACTTTCAGTCCTTGGAGGATGAGATGTGCTTGAATGATATACTTGAGAGTGCCAGGCATTTTAATTACCTTAGGCTTGTGAAGCACTGTTTGTCTACTTCTGGGGGCTGTGACAACAGAGCTAGGAACTGATCACCGTGACACACTGAGCAAGGCTACATTTTAACAGCAGCAAATATGGCAGGCTCAGGGATGGGGAATTTTAAGTGGCCCACCAGATATTTTTACCTCCAGACTTCACTAAGACATTGTTTAGACATAGAATGATCCCAAGTTAAAAAGCACAGTCACATAACTGGGCAGGGAAGAGCTAAATTTTGAGGCTTGGTATAGAAAAAAAAGATGAAACCTAGAAATTACAAGTCTGTTAAGTAGAAGTGCTTGCATTTGAGTGTTGTACGAAGTGATCTCTGTGTATAGTTTACATGCATCAATTTTAGTTTGAATGGCAACTAGGGTTATTACAGGATGAAAGGTATGACATACATGAAAGTTGCTTTTTTGGTTATAACATACTACATTTCTATCACATAAGGTAAAACAACCACTGCTTTATTTACAGTGCTTCACTACAACCATATTTTATTATCATGAGACATTCCTTGACCAAAAATGTTGTTACTAATCACAGAGTAAATTAATAAGATTGAGTGACTACAGTCTAAATCTTTTTTAAGCTAATTTAGTCAAATATGTGCTACCATAACTAGGCCATAGCAGTGTGTGCTGCCATGCAAGAGACTAGGGTTTAATTCTTGGATTCTGCTTCTCACTCCATGAGCAGGAGCTAGGAGCACTCCAGAGCTGCAGCCTCAACCCTGGGAGGGATGGAGCCTTGTGTCATTCAACAGCAGTGACCCCCACTGGCCAATTTAAGGAGAAGCATTGAGGGGCTCTAAAAGGAGTCACTTCCAGTCCTCCTCAGAGGTTGGTGGTCATTGCACGGGATCTAGTGAGTGGAGGTTCAATGGGTGCACTCGGTGGGGTCTTCAGCTTTCAGTCTGAGGAGCAGAATCCTCTGGGGAGGAAACAGCATGTGCGCTTCCTGAGACACTATTTTTGCCTGATATAAATGGCAAGATTGTCAAGAATTTTTTTTCAGATGTCCTGTAACGAATGCTGTGATATCTATCTTTTAAATAGAATGAGGGAAAATTCCACTAAACACAATATAATTGTACTTCAATTCTCAGAGAAAGAGGGGGAGAGACTAGATAGCATAGAGGGAAATACAAGTGCAAACTGTTCTCTCAGTTTCCTGGCCTAGTGTTAGGTGACCTGAGCAGTAAAACTAGCACTGTTCCAATGGGATTGTTAATCCTCAGCCTGCCATTATCAGGAACAGGAGTATTGTTTTAGCAAAGAGGATTACATTTTTGTTTACTTAGTGCCATCTTAGTACCCTAGTCTACATCTCCTCAGATTGGCCTAAAGTGATTGTCTTCCTTTCAGCACTTGCAGCTGTTAAGCATATTTCCCCTCCCAATCATTTGGTGGATATAATACATATTTAATTCTTTCACATGGCCTCCCCAGCCAGCTGTTGTAACCCCATAGTGATTTTTGATGTGCTTGTCCAAGTCTCATCCGAGTCGCTGACCTCTTGCTGGTATGGCAACAGAGAGCTTGAGGCCCGTCCTTGAGGAGGTGGAAGTGAAAGGAACTAGTGCCACCTCGGTCTGTGATTCTGTGTTTCAGCCACTGTGGTCCTTTTTGCCTGCCATATAACACTGCACACTCACACCCAACTTGCTGTCCTCTGCCAGGTCTCTTTTGTCATTAATGCTCTGGCAGTACCATGGGATCCGGTCTGGTTCAGCAGTGCACACTATATATTGCCTGTTGTTTAGAGGGATGGGATAAATTAGAATAAACTTTTGCTTATGAACACCTTTAAAAGCTCTTTTAAACCTCTATGTCACAAAGCTGTGTGTGAGGTTTTTTTAACCAAATATTTTATGGATATATGGAGTAACAAAACAGACAAAGTGAAGATGAAATAATGTAACAATTTTCATATACTCACAAATTTTTTACATAGCACAGGCTGAAAGTGTGACACAAACATTCTTTTGTAACATGCCAGCCTTCACTGAGGGATCTCAAGAAATAGTGTAAACACTTGCAGGCAATAATTTGTATTGTTTTGTGGTGAAGGAAGTAGATATCTGATTAAAGAGAAACCTTATTAAATGCAAACATTTGTCTTCTGTTTGCTTTTAACATTCGTAAGGAGGAACAGATCCTTTAAAAAATGAATCCATTGTTCATCAGGATTCTTGGAAGGGCTTGTTAAATCAGCAGGAACAAAGCTACACATCAGGAATTACTGCACTTCTACCAAGCACTACCTGATGCCCTGACACCTGAGCTGCATGAAAAGATGCATCCCACATATTTCTTTAGCTGTTGGCACAGCAGCCTGATTCTCCCTTGAACAGAGAGAACAAGAGAGCTCTCTGGCTTTGCACCTTTGCTTTCCAATCTCAAGTTTGCACCTTTCTATCCCATGCTGCTTAGGGTTTTTGCAGCAAATCTGTGATGCACTGGAGTACAGTAGGCGGTTTACTTGTTTTCATGGAAGGACAATTTGTACTTAAAGCAGTGATTAGATGGATTCTTTCTTTCTTGCATGCTTTAGTTTCTGATGAGTACTAGCTTCATCAGTGTAATTATAATTAGCACTCTTCATCTTGCTTTTACGGTACCAGCTGGACAGATTGGTCCTCTTACTGCACAGATTGGCGGCAGGGTTGCCTACATGGAGTTAGGTGACAGGCACCATGAAATAACAGATGGTAAATTCAGGGCTTGTTGGCAATCAGCAGGTTTTTGCTAATGACTTAATTAGCTATGCAAATTGTCAAATCAGTGTGAACATTGTTTTTATCGAAAACTTTACCTAAATTAATTACCATAATTAAGTAGCAGAATGTCAAGTATATTGGATGCGTAAAAGGGCTTGGCTGGCTATGGATAAGAGAGTTACCATCTTTATTAGAGTGCTGTGCTCCATGTTTGAGAAGTCTGAGGATAAGAAATGTGATTTCTTTTAAACTACTTTTAAAACATGCCTATCACCAGGTTCCAACTGAGATACACCCTGGTGCCTTTCCAATGAAAATGGCTCAGGAAGGATTTACTGGATAAACGCTAAATATTTCAAGGAGAACTTTAAAGACAGTTTCATAGCCTGTTTACTTGCTTAAAATCAGGCATATTTTTCAGCCTACCTGCTTTTCAGTTCTGGGGTTTCTGAGATCCAGAGCCATGAGCATGCAGCTATAGAGATGTGTTATAGTTTTTAATTAAATTAGAAATAAAGTGTAAGCCTCTCTCCTTGTTCCAATTAGGTGGGAACTTTTAACTCTGTTGTTCAAATGTCACAAAGTTAAAGAGATGCAAATTCTCTAACATAATTTTTTTAAGTTGATTTTTTCTCTCTCAAGGTTTCCATATAACAAATATTGGGTGCTGTTCACAGGATGTGATGGTGGTAGGAGAACCAACTCTGATGGGAGGCGAATTTGGGGATGAAGACGAAAGGCTTATCACTAGATTAGAGAATACACAGTATGATGCAGCAAATGGCATGGATGATGAAGAAGATTTCAACAATTCACCTGCACTGGGAAATAACAGCCCGTGGAACAGCAAACCTCCTGCTAACCAGGAGACTAAATCTGAAAACCCCACACCACAAGCTTCCCAATAGGTTATTCTGCAGCAGTGCCCACTGTAAAGTACCTCAGTGGGTTATTAATTACTGTTTCACAGCGTTCTTCAAAATAAAATTTAAAAGAAACACCTTTCAAATAATACAGTATCTATTTCTAAACTAAAGCTATCCAACTTTTTTCGTTAGGGAAAACTCTTGTATAAACTTCCATATACATTCTTTGGAAGTATTGTCATACAACTAGATACTGGCACTGACCTCAATTAAAATAATTGAAAATTAAACAGCATCTCGTGGCAAATTTCTGACAGTGCATTTTATTGGAAGGGGTTGTTTTTTTCCTCATCAAACAATGGCCATATTTTAACAAGTCATCAGTGCTCAGGATCTCATTAACATAACTATGTAAAACTTTTTACAATTGTAATATATTTTCTGCTTTTCAACTTGCACCTGAAATTTCTTGTTTCAGAAAAAGATCAGCTTTTAAGGAAAAGTATTTAAAGTAACTTTTGTTCATTCTTTAACTTTTCTTTCATCAGTTAATCATTTAAAGGATCCAGCATTTTTAATTTACATTTAGCTGATGCCAGTAGATACTCTATCCATCATTTAATAAAAATACTGAAACAAGAAATGTCTTTTTTTCATCAAAGACATGAGAAATATTTTTATGTGGAAAAAGACACCCAGTCCTATGAGAGTTTATGCTTTGTAAAATTGCTGTCGATCCAGATATTTTAAAGCCATGTAATCCATTAACTTTGTGGGCAGCTTAATAAATCTAAATCTTTTGTGTTTTTATTATTGTATCTGAGTTGGCTTTGTTGTTATTTCTTTTCATAGTATATTTCTTGTATAATATTTTTGTAAAGCCCTCATTTTTTGTTTTACTTTTTTGTTTTGTTTTGTTTTTTATTCCGGTGTATTTATGTGAAACTTTATAAAAGAAACTAATTTTTTCATTTACATATTAATATGTTCAACTCATCATGTAAAGACACAGTGAGTCAGTGTGTTATATAATACAACTGTATTTTATGTATGCTTTGCCAATAAGTGTGCCAATAAACTGTGTTAACAAATGTGCTCTTATACAATGCATTTACATTTCCTTGTACGCACAGCACACACACCCATGTTCAGGATCATGCACCAGGGATTTCTGGAATTAGTGTTTCACTGAATTGCAGTCTTTTTGCAGCTAAAGGGAAAGCCTACGGTGAGGTGTGTATGGCTTGCAGCTCAATTTGGTTTGATGCTCTTTTCCGAACAATAACGATGTGCAGCACCACAGGTGAGTTACAGCGGTGAGAGCCAGGCGTGAGGGAGTGCAGGGCATCCAGCCAGAGAAGCTCCATCCTGAACTTTGCATCCCTTGCCTTCCAGGGCCAGGGCTTATTGGAGCGGGGATTTCCACTCTGCTGAATTCTGTCTGATAGCTTTATGATGAGTCCCTCAACTGGTGATGAGAGGATTTTAAAAATCCTCCTTTCTTTGCTTTGCTATCATATCAATTGTTCACGGGCGCCAGCGAAATCCCTGGAGTGCTGCAGCCGCTCTGAGCACGGCCCAGCCTGCAAAGCCCCTCGGCTGAGCTGGAGGTCTGAGGCACACACCCACACACCCAGGCACCTGGGAAGCCCTGCAAGGTGCACCCTGAGAGTGGCAAACACAGGAAGAACTGTCGGCACAGAGATGCTGAATCTACACAATCCTGCCTTTTGTGCAGGGGAGCGGTGTTTTGTTCTTCCCAGAAACTACTTTCAATATTGCTGACGTTGTAAGAGCAGCTGAAGAACTCCTAGGGTTTTTCCTGAGTGGCTGTATGTATATCCAGCCTGGGGAAATGTGTCTCCTTAGCATATATACATACTTTTTTCATCATGCTTTTGCTGGGTGTGATTCTACCAAACAGGTTTGAAACCACCACTGCAGAAGGAATAGAAGGCAAAGCACCCTGTGTGGCCACTTGGTTCTTGGTGACAGACAGCTCCCTCTCTGCCCCAGAAACCAGCCTTGGCCCCTGACGTGGGCCCACGCTCCTGCAAGCAAAATCCTTGTTCAATGAATTTTGGCACCTATGGTACCCCTTGCAGGAAGATAGCCTAAAAGACACTCCAAGCTCTAGAGCACAAAGGATATCAGTTATTGAATTTAAAACTAGCTAAATAATGAACATGGATAGACATGCTGCTCCTTTGTATCATTTTCAGAATGTAGAAAACTGTTTTATCATTCAGTGACTATATCAGCCCTGATTTTTCCATGTAAATAATTAAATTCACAATGTATTCCATTAAGGGATCTCTGGCTTCTATATAACCGCTATAACATTACAATTATACACTGTAATTCTAATGTTCAAGAACACTAATCATTCATATTACATCTCCATGAGCACACTCTAAAAGGCGTTCCTTATTATTAATCTTTCAAGACTGGCACTGCTATTTCAATTTTTAAAAGATTTATGATGTCATATTACTCCTGTTGTTTCAGTAAATAAACACAGGAACGCTTGAAAAATGGGCAACAGACTCCTTAGAGTGCTGTCCTTGAATTAATCTCCAAGGACACTTTCTCCATATCTCCTCAAAATCCTCGTCTACAAGCTATCAATCCACCCTGTTGTGGTTAGGGTGAACAACAGACACAGCTAGCTGATTTTATTTATTCACTTATTTATTCATAAAAGAAATGCCCAAAATGGGCCAGCTGGAGGAAGTGGTTGAGATGGACAGCAGCTGAACACGCAGTCTCCTCGCTGCTTCGCCCCGTGCCCCGGGCTGCTGCGTGGGCTTCTCATTTCATGTTGGAAATTACACAGTAGGCTCAAGACAGAGCCTGTGATCCCATTTCTGATCCTAAGAGCTCATGCCCTGTCCTCAGGAATGCTCCCCACGGGTTGAGGATTAAAGAGCAGTGATCACATGAGCTAATGGATTTTATGGCTTTCGGTTGGGGGTTGTCATTAAATGACGCTGCGGCTTCCGTGCACTCCACGACTGCCTGGCACAGAGCAGGGGGAAAGGTGAATAAACACCACAGGTGAGTAGAAGCAACAGGTTTGTAAGAGCAGCCTGAAGAATGAAAGCTGGAAAGCAATAGTTAATTTCACTGTAATCTAATCTCACCACCTACCAGAACATTGTATCTCTCTTAGAATTTGGAAGGAAATAATGTTTTTGGCACTTCCCCCTGGGGAGCCCTGAAGCTATTAAAAGGAGGAAGGAAATTTATCTCATGATGTTGAAATACTTTCAGAAAGAAAGCTCTTGTTTGTTTTAGCTAAATGGGGGGAAATACTGGCCCTGAGAAATGCCCGCACAAATCAGAGGGAGGAAATTCCAAGAGTTTACTTGGAAAAGCTGAATCACATAATTAGTAAAGTGACAAAATATGAACACTGATAACCAGGCTCGTTGTTGTTACAAAGAACTTAAACCATGCAAGAGTTATGAGCACTGATGGGTTTTGATTGTTCTTTGAAATGCTAACCATGCAAGAGTTATGAGCACTGATGGGTTTTGATTGTTCTTTGAAATGCTTTGTTTGGAGTTTATTTTTTCTGTTTGGTTGGGTTTTTTGAGGGTTTTTTTTGGGGGGTCTTTGTTCAGCAAAGTCCATTTCTTAGAGAACTTTCAAATCCCGTGAATCACCAGCTGGTCTCACCAGCTGCCCCTTGTGAGAACATTTCAGTTCCTCAAGCTTCTCCACTGTGAAAGTCATGATTAATTTTTAGCCTTGGTTCTGGAGAAGTTACTGCTCTCAAACATTTGAGAAGCAACCAGCTTACATCCTTGGGGAACAGAGCAAAAGCACCCGGTAACAGAGAGGCGAGGATGCCAAGGAAGATCAGTCAAGGTGTGCAGGAAGACATAGGGATTAGAGGGGGAAGAAACTTCCAAAGGGAAAGGTAAAATACTGAACACCACTAGGTGTTCTCTAGCACCAGGTTGGAGAGAGGCTCCCTACCCAGCATTGGCTGCAAAACACCATTAAAGGAGTCTAAATGATAGAACAGACTAAATTTTGCAATTTCACAGCCTCCATGAAAATCCCATTTTAGCAAAGACAGGATGAAAGAGAAAACATGAATGATTGATATTGAAGGAAACCCAGTTTGTGTCTAATATATCCTGGAGAAACTGCTAATGGAAATTGAATAGTCCTGAAAATATTTCCTGAGACTGCAACTCTGATCAAGTAGCCCTATGGTGATATATTGCATGTCCAAATTAAAGCTGCCCTGGGGCACACGTAACCCCAGCAGCTGGTTTTACTGAGCAGGACTGGATGATTTGTATGTTTTTTCTAGCTTTTTGACAGCTAGAAAATTTTTATTTTTATACAAGGCTAAGGCCTGAATCTTCTACTATGTAAGAGGAGCTACTGAATATTTAACATCCCATAGAACTGATGTTACTCCAGCATGTCATTATGCTCTATTAGGAAGGCTGGTGGTACCCCAGCATTGCAGAATGGCAGATGGTACCTTTAGATAGAGAGTCACTTATGGATGTCTCTAAATTTATGGACCATACTCATACATTTCTTGTGAAAATATGAATTTCCACTGAATGCTCACTCTATTAAAATCTGTTCTAATTTACCATGTTATTTTGACAGCAACTAGTATCAATTCTTTAAAGGGGAGAGGTTTTATTAAGAACAGTGAAGGAGCAATCTAACTATAAAAGCATTTCTTCCATGACCCTGTGAATCACTTCGGAAATAAAAGAACTTTATCCTTCACATCAAGAAATAATTTTTAATGGGTCTATGGGTGGTCTTAATTCATAAGCATATTTTAAAACACCATTATGCACTAAAGATGACATCAGGAAATAATTCACTTATGCATGAAGAATCAAAAACTTTATAAAAAGCATCTATCTAAAATAGAGCACAAACACTCCAGCTGCCCAAGAAATTCCCAGTTCTTTTCCATCAATTTTACAGGGATCAGGATTAGATTGATCAGCTTTAGTTTGAATATGTTGAATCCATCCCTGATAATTCAGGTTACAGGTTACTGCACATTAACAAGGGAATGTGATTCAGCTGAACCAGATAAATGCCCACCCAGTGTGCCTCCATACCTGTTGGACAACCAAATTCAGGATTGTTTAGGTCAGTGCTTGTGGCTGGAGTCTTCATGTTCATTTTCTTTTTTTCCTGTGTGTGTTGTGGGGATTTTATGAGGGTGGGGATTTTTAATTTGGGAACATTTGGGATCTTATTTTTTTCTTTATTTTTTCCTTCTTCAACCTGTACAGTGCCCTATGAGTACTTCTCAGATGTCCAAGACCAATATCAGTTGGAAGGTGACATGCAGAGCACGTGTTAAGAGTGTGTGTATGTAGCAGTATTTTATATTATGTTAAAAGAAACTCTGCATGATTTCTGGAGATCCTCAAGTTGTATATCACCCCAGTTTAATTAATAACTCTGTCTCAACAACTCTATATTCATCTAAGTTGCTGTGTATAATTTTGTATTGAACAGCTGTAATGTATAAGGTTAGCATCTCCTTTGTAATGCATTAGGAGACATTTTAGCAAATGCTTGATATAAAGCAGGCATTTAACACTCCTTATTGCATTCAAGTGCGACTCTCATTTCATCACATGAAGTTTCATCCTCCCTGAGTAATCTCTTGGGGGGTCTGAGTACTGAAAAAGCTTTTAAGAGCTGGTGTTTGATGCTTTCAGATGCTGGCGATTTTTTTTTTCCCTCCCATTCTATTTTCTTCCATCTCTCTCTGATAGCTTATGAAAATTTGTTTGTCATTTTGCACAAAATTTTTAACTTTCCATCTTCTTCTGGCCATGTGCAAAACAGAACACAGGACTCACATGTGCTCCACACAGACAAACCCATCAAAACCAAGGTGGGTTGCTCCCGGCTTGCCAGGAGAGATCAAATTCAGCAGACAGAAGGTGTGAAATTTAGGAACTGTGATCGATACTGGGGCTTGTGTCTGTCTTTGACTGCAAACTCCATTCTGAAAGGGAATTTTCAGCTGTTTACTTTGAAATCTCCCCTCCAGGTTAAACTCATATTCCGAAGGGTGATAACAAAGGGTGAAC